TAGCGATGTTGACATTTTTAACTTAAAAAAACATTCGCAAGCAGATAAAAAAATTGACACACCTTCCTTGAAAATAATAATTTAGCAGATATGATCGGCGGTAAAAGTTGGAGACGACGGCCGACGAGATTTGATGCGAAACAGCTAAATGTAGCTCAGTTTCGAGATACAGAGTTACAGAGAGAAATTCGGGGGAGAAGAGAGAAGAATCGCAGACAATTCATAAAAAACGAGCTTAGGGCTTTCACATTAAATACAGGGGTAATTATGTCCGAAAAAAGACCCTTGCCTTGATTTTAAATAAAATTTAAAGTATTGAATTTTTTTGCAAGACAAAAAAACCGGATGTCCCTTTTCTCTTTTTTAATTAAGTCCATGTGTCATGGGCCTATTTGTCATTTGCCATTTTATTTATAACTAGTCAAGATATTGTTCATCGAAAAGTTATTTTAATAATTTTTTTAATTGTCAAGCAAAAATAACAAAAAGTTGTGTGTTGTAGCACATACTTTTTGCTAAAATCAATGAAATATTCAATTTTTTACAACATTTTTTTTAACCCTCAAATATATAATATAGAAAATGTTTCATACATTAAATAATAAACATTATTCGGTGGTTGGAAAGATAAAATAGTGGCCCTACGGGTCAACTTAGATACACATATTATGGTCTTAAATGGGTCAACTAAGATCCATATGTTTTTCTTTTGTTTTTCTTTTTTTAATTATAATTTCTAAATAACTCTTGTGTTATACCCACTAACATTTAATGATGTATTTACACTTAAACTTATTATATTCATACTAATAATATTTTATATTGAACTAATAATATTCATACCGTTGGATTTGGGGTCTAACGAATTATTTAATCCAGGCCATTAATACATTTCTCCCCAAAGGTGGCCCAATAAGAATTCAGTCCAACAGTACAAAAACTCAAGTCCTAATTTATGATCTCTCTCTCTCCTCTTCAATTGAGTGTAAAAGAAGTAAAATACAGAGAGGAACGGAGTGACTCGAACTCCGAGACCGTACCACTGCATTCAATTCTTTTTGTATACTTCTAGCAATACTCTCGTTGACGATGACTATGATTGTACATAAATTGTCTTCTCCCTCTGAGACCATTCTTCTAGAGAGAGATAAGAACGGAGAGAAAATACATGCAATTTGAATCTTAACCTAGTTTTCAGTACGAGAGTTCAAATTCTATGAAGTTGTGGCTATTGGGAGAGGGCATTGGTCAAGATCTGATTGATTTTATCCCAATCTAGGGCTCCAGGTTGTTTGTGATTTGTTTTGAATTATTGGTCCCACCGTCGGTGGTTTTTTGAACGAGAAACGTGACATAGGAAATTGAGCTGAAGCTTCTCCATTGGTTGAAGTTTAGCTGCTCATAGCTTCTCGTTGGTTGTCTCTTCAGTTTACAGTTTTTTGTTTCTTTCGTTCTTCGATAATCTATAATCTCCTGATCTCATTTCCCATACGTAATCTATAATGTCCTAATCTCACCGAGTTCAAACGAGTGCCGAACACATACATTTAAAAATAAAATACTTTGTACATGCAGTATATAATCTTTTAGACATAGTATTTGTATCTCAACAAAAATTCATTTTAAAAAGCTAAATATATTTACATCATATTTTTTATATATAATTTAGTGTAATTATATTATCAAGACTAAAAATACTTGGTACATTCATGGTAAGTACCTTTATTACCTTAAAAATACATAAATAAATAATCGAATACTAAAAGGCAGGGTAATTTATTTCCACTTAAGTAAATAATTGGTGAAATTCATTAATCTGAAATAAATTCAACCAGTAATTAAATATGTGTCAGAATTCGACCACATCCCACGTGCAACTTATTTTGTAGATCTGAATGTACTAACATTACCATAAATGCACTATAAATAATAATAATATCAGATATACTAACTTTACAGCTAAAAATAATATACCCTAAATTTTTTAATTTTTTTTTTTTGAATTTTCTTAATTTTTATAATATACATAGATAATATAAATCGATTTGGACTAAATTTATATTAATTTTCACATCAACTATATATATAAGAACATGTATGGAGTAGTTTGATTTGTTTTTCACCAGCTTTATAATAAATATTTTCTTTTAATATTGGGTAAATTACTATAAAAAAAAAACATTGAACTTAGGCTAAATAACGTAAAACACCCCCACGTATCCGTAATTACTAAAATCCTTATATGACTAACTGACCGAGTTTTTTAACAGAAAATATGTACAATCTATTATATCTTATCTTAAATAGGTGAGAAATAAAAGAACATGTATGTAATTGTGTTTTTACGAATAGGTGGCGATGATTTTCGTAATTTAAGCTCAGTTCAGGGAGTTTTTTGTAATTTATTCTTTAATATTTCAATAGGTCAAAAAACAGAAAAGTATTGGCATAACTAAATCCCAGCATATTGTTAGCATTTAGCCAAATTTAGGTGCAATAAAGGAAAATTAAAGGAAAAGTTTATATATATATATTTCATACAACTGTTGCAGATATAATATTTAGAGCAAAAATTGAAGGAGCAACGTATAATATGTATATAAAGTTGGGCCAAAAATGGCATTTTCAGAGAGAAGGATTCACGGGCTCTTGTTACTATTCCAAACGCCAAAATTTTACCCAATTTATTGAAAAGTCCAATTCTATGTCACATTATTTTCATTTGGCCCCTCAACTATTAAAATAATAGTTAGGTGCAAATAATTAAATATCTAAATATGAATACTTCTTATAATATATATAAATTGAAAAAAATTCCAAATTCTTTCTTTCTATATATATATATATATATATATATATATATATATATATATATATATATATATATATATTCTTATGAATCTTTTATTTTTTTACCTTAGCTAACAAAAACAGGTAATTAATTATCAGTAATTTTTTTTCATAATGTTAATGGAAAGTGGAACATATGACCCAACAACTACCCCAGCTAATACATACGTACAAATCACATGCTTGTTAAATAAAAAAATAAAAAAAAAAAAGTCTTCAAATAGTCAACTAAGTGGAGTTGGGAGAGTTACACTAACAAAACAATTCATGCACTATAGCAAGTTAGTACAACAAATTTATGATGATTAGTGATTTGGAAGTTATATGCAGGAAACCGAAGAGCGTGTTTGGCTAAGTTTATAAGCTATTAAAAGAGCTTAATAAGATGTTATTTACGAGCTGATAAACTTGTTTGATAAAATTATATTAAAAAAAAGAATCTTAAGAATTCAATAAATAAACTATCGAAGAGTAGATAGAATTTTCCAAAATTAATTCTAAAAAATACTTATCAATTCTTAAAATTAATTCTAAAAATAAGACATAACAACTTATCAACACTTAAAATAGCTTATCAGATGTAAAAGTTTATCAGTTGTTTAAAATAAGTTTAGTCGAACGAGCGCTAAATTTTGTATACTTAGTAGTGGATTAGAGTCATATTCGTAAAGAACATATAAAGAGTCATTAACAAATAAAAATAACCATTTTATTTTTGGACAAAAATGAATATTGATATATATTTTCCAAATAAAGAGTGAAGGGTTTTTTAGGAAGTTTAATTACAAAAATGCAAAAAGATTTAAAACTTAAATTGGGCTATTTAGGGTAACAACTTCTCATCTGGTCTAGATTTTAATTTTGTCACGTTATCATATATTCTAAAATTCTTTTCCAAAATTTTAAAAATATGGGAAATTTAATCTCATAAAGTCACTCATCATTTTTGTTTTTCTTGCATAGTCACATAATTCTAAAAATATTAAAGTATTGCAATAAAACAAATTCTCGTGAATATTGACATTCCCATACATATAAATTCGGTAAATTACAACCATCCCCCTGAAGTAAGGTTTATTTACGAAAAAAATTCCTCATCTTTCCATAACTACATCCACCCCTGCAATTTGAAGATTTTTTAAATTAACACTCTATTATAGGGGGGTGATTTGTAAAAAAAATTACAAACTTCAGGGACTAGATGTAATTTCTCAAACATATATAAAGGGTATTTTTTGTAATGATATTTTATCTCAAGGAGGTAAGTTGTAATTTACCCTATATAAATTTCCCAACTGCTACCACCACTACCCCCTCTCTCTCTATCTATTTGACTATAATACCCTTTTCCTACCGATCTACACACGTGAACATAATAATAGGGTAAATATATTTTTTTATGATTTTTTTTATGAGAAAATCTGTAAAAAAATATATTTAGCAAATGATTCTCCTAAAAAATCTCCACTCTTTGGACTTTTTTTTTCTTCTCTATTACCTTTTCTTAAAAAATAAAATCTTTTTTTTTATTTAAATCAGATCTTCCTAGATATTAAAAAAAAGGTAAATTACGATCACCCCCTAGTAGAGTATGATAAAATTACGAACAAACCCCTCTTGTTTAGAAAATTACAACTACCCTCCTCAACTATGAATTTTCTTACGCGTTGTGGTGTCAAAGTCAAACATAATCTTCCAGATTCCGTAGAATGTTCTCTAGTATGCACACGTTTTGTGTAAAAATGCAGTTTTTGATACACCATAACCTAATATTTATAAGTGAAAAGACACATCTTATGATTATCGTATTTCAAAATGTGAAGCTCAAATGAGATAAAAATGGGTATAAACTAGAGAATATTCCACATGATGTAAAAAAAATCCACTAAATTTGACACTGCAATGGTGGACATGTAAGAGAATTCATAGTTGAGTGGTGTGGTTGTAATTATCCAAAAATGAGAGGCTTTTTCATAATTTGACCATACCTCAGGGGTTGGTCGTAATTTACCCCAATAAATATAAAGAAAAAGAAAAAGCAATAATCCCATATTATACGCCTCATCCTCATCCAATTTAATATTAATCGAAATAATAAATTAATTAATTAATTAATAATAAATAAATAAATAAAATCCGAATTATAAAATCAAAATACACCGACCGTAACTACTGCCACTTTCAGTTTTCTTCTTCCTCTTCAATCTTCATCAAACCGCTATTCACCACCACCACTTCGCCGGAATCTTTGCCTTCTTCTTTCTCCTCTCACTATCTCCGCCGCCGCCGCCGCTTCACGTTCCCCACACTCAAAACTGCGCAAATCTCTGCCTTGTGGGGGCCCTCTTTCCTTCAAGAGATTTAACAATTAACAAAATTCGTCGTCGTCTTTAATTTCACTTTCTTGATTCTTCGAGGCGATGCATTTAATACCCACTTAACACCAACTTTGATTCGCCTCGTTTTACGCCATCAAATTTCCCAAAATAAAAAAATAATAATAATATTTCAAATTTCCTCACCCTCCGGAAATGATGAAGGTTTGATGATGGTATCAAAAATGTGCAGAGTGGGGGACGAAAATGAAAATGAAAGCAGACGAGAAAACGAGGTTTACTGCGATTTGGGAGTGAATTATTTGGGCGAAAGTAAAGCCAAATTAATTAGGGTTTCCCATGGTAGAATGAAGCTATGGACACTGAGAATTATTACAACGTTATTGCTATGGACATGTATTATTCAATTGGTCGCCATTGGAGAGGTTTGGGGGCCTAGGTTATTGAAGAGTTGGCCTTCTTGCTCCAGCCCCCCCAATTTGTATATTCCCCCTAATTTATCTTCTCTTCAATCAACAAACCATTTTCCACTAAAAAGTGAGTCTTTTTCGTTTTTTCGATTTTTGTTTAGGTTTATGTAGCTTGTTAGAATTTTTTTGATTTTATTTAATGAAGAAAAATTAATTACGATCTAGCTTCGTATTTATTGTGTTGAATTTGATTGTTTTTTTTTTCAGGGGTGTATGAGAACAATGGATATCTCGTTGTTTCTTGCAATGGAGGACTTAATCAGATGCGAGCGGCGGTCGGTTATTTTTGACTTTTTTTGCGATTATGAATTTTACCCTTTTTTTTCGATTTTCGAGATGTGTTATATGATTGTATTTTTCTTTTATTTCATTTTTGGTATGCAGATATGTGATATGGTTGCTATTGCTAGATATCTTAATATCACTCTTATCGTACCCGAGTTGGATAAAACGTCGTTCTGGGCTGATTCGAGGTCTGTATTAACAACTATCGTGTAATTCCGCTATAATTGCACTCGATGTTCTTTTTAAGAATGTTTTTTTTTTTTTGCAGTGATTTTGAGGATATATTCGACGTGGATCATTTCATTTCATCTTTAAGAGACGAGGTACGGATATTGAAAGAACTTCCGCCTAGGCTTAAACGGAGAGTTGAACTCGGAATGTTCTACGAGTTACCTCCCATTAGTTGGTCGAATATTTCCTACTACCGTCACCAGGTTCGTTTGTTGAACAACAGAGTTGGTTAATTTTTTATTTTTATTTTATTTTTTCTTGAATTTAATTTTCGTTATTTTTAATCGGCAGATTCTTCCGCTACTAAAGAAACATAAAGTCGTGCATCTGAATAAAACCGACGCGCGTCTTGCTAATAACGGGCTACCGCTCGAGATTCAGAAATTACGTTGTAGAGTAAACTACAGTGCTCTAAGATTTACTTCACAAATAGAGGATTTAGGCAGAAAAGTGGTCGAAATGCTGAGAAAAAAGGGGCCTTTTTTGGTCCTCCATCTTAGATACGAGATGGATATGTTGTCGTTTTCTGGTTGTACGAAAGGGTGCAACACTGATGAAGTGAATGAGCTTACTACAATGAGGTAATCTTAGTGTTTTTTCTTCACACATCGAAAAAAATAATTAATAATTATTATTATATAATTAGTGTTGACTTCGAAAAAAATTATTACATTAAATAGATATGCTAACCCGTGGTGGAAGGAGAAAATCATTGATCCGGAAATTAAAAGGAAGGAAGGTTTATGCCCTTTGACACCCGAAGAAACTGCTTTAGTTCTCACTGCACTCGGTATTGATAAAAATGTTCAAATATATATTGCTGCTGGAGAAATATACGGTGGAGAGAGAAGATTGAGAAGTTTGTCGAAAGTATTTCCAAATCTGGTCCGTAAAATTAAACATGGTTTTTTTTTTCGAAGAATATTTATATATGATTATTGATTTCTTGAGATTAATTGGTATAGGTGAAAAAGGAGACGTTGCTTGAACCATCGGACTTGATGTTTTTCCGAAACCACTCGTCACAAATGGCGGCTTTGGATTACCTTGTCTCGATGGAGAGTGATATATTCGTTCCCACATATGATGGAAACATGGCTAAAGTCGTTGAAGGACACCGCAGGTGTGTGTTTTTATCGTTTTTTTTTCCGATACTTGTCGATTTTTCGTAATTTTGGCATAACGATATTTTTTTTTGCAGGTATTTAGGGTTTAAGAAGACAATTGTACTGGACAGAAGAGTTTTGGTTGGTTTGATAGATGAATATAGTGATGGATCATTGAGCTGGAATGAGTTTTCATCCTCTGTGAAGGAGGCGCATGCTAACAGGATGGGGAGCCCGAAGAATCGCGTTGTGATTTCTGATAAACCGAAGGAAGAAGATTACTTTTATTCCAATCCACAGGAATGTTTTGCAGACGGCGAAACCGAAAGCGTTGTAGGTTGACCTATTTTCGCCTTACAGCAAATCACACACAGCTTGTGTGTGTAAATTTTTTAGACAAGAAATGTGTACTTGGTTCAATCTAAGTTATACGTCATTCTTTTAGAGTTTTCGTTTATTCAACTTTTGTACAGCTCTAATTTGGACCTAAATAGTAATAAAAATATTTAAATTATTCAAATTCTGGTAAAATAGAGCACATGTAGACATTACCAAAGAGGTAGGTAGGTTTCCCATGATAAAAGCAATTAATAATACTTTTAAAAATAAAAGAAATGTAGTTTCTAGAAGAATCTAGAAGAGCATACACATTTGATTTGAACAAATTCGGCTCCCTCTCTAGCAAAAACAGTGAGGTAAGCAGAAATAAATTGAATATACTATGAAACGGAAAGTAATAATCGAACACACTATCTTTGATCTGCTCTGAACCTCTTGTGAGTGTGTTCATAATTATCGGTGTTAAGCACAGGAGGTACTGGATGGAAGCTGCGCAGATTCTCGTGATTCTGAAAATTCAGCATTTAAAAAATAAAATAATAAGTGAAATATATTCATAAATAAATTTCACGCGTATGCAGAAAAAAATACGAGGCGCAAAAACTGGATCGTGAATGTAGAAATAATTGGGTAAAGATCTCACAGAAAAGAAAAAAAAAGAGTTAAAAGTACCTTTTCAAGAACTGCTGGAGCACTTCTGCCGTTTGTGTGTTTTTTCATATCAAGTTGCACCGAAATGTTGGCTTGGGATAAATCCACCCCTGATGATAGTAATGCGTTTGTTAAGGAACTCAATAACCTGTTCAATGTCAAAAAAATTCAGTTATAAGCAGTAAAAGAGGGAAGTTGAGAGGAAGATATGCATCAATGTTATATTTTCAATCTCGTATGTTTCAAGGGCACTGTTTCAAACCTCTTGGTTCTTAACAGTGCATCACCAAATATAAATCATATAAAAAAAATGAAACGAAAACCCGAGCTATGCAACATTATATCAAATGATCATTTCCTTTTAATTTGAGCCAGTGCTTACCCTTGAGAATAGGTACTCGAGACGCTAGCTTCTCCATTTTCGGTCTTCAGTTCTTCCACATCAGCAGAGTTGATAGGAAAAGGACAGGGATCCATATATGAACCCCCTCGCAGAAAGGGGGGTTTTGCCAGCTGGACGAATTGCTCGGCATCGGGGAAAGATTCTTGATGGATTTGTGTAGGCACAGTCTCGAACATAGGTGGTTGCAGTGGTATGTTCAGAGGAAGACCTTGATTTGGTGCTGTTTGTAATACATCTGTTGATTTATGTAAGGAATCTCCCGTCAAATCTAATTGCACCGAGTTTTCTGCGTTACTTAGAGATGTTGGGCACGGCAAAACATTGTCTTCTTGACCAGATAAAAGGCTCTCAAAATGAGATTGGTCGACAAAGCTTTCAACTGGTCCAGAATTACTTTTCTGTCGGTAAAAAGAGAAGATGTCAGTTCTAAAGCAGGTTCACTTCCTTTTCGGCTTGTCCTGAATTACTACATCACAAGATTAACATAATATTATATCTTAACCTCGATTTCCGCCCTAAAAAGAAGTAACAACAGATATTTTCATCAGCAAACGAGACTGCAAAGGACATAAAGCAAACCAGACAATTTAACTCTAAATTAATGATGCACTAAACCGGACGATTTGTACCGACTCTTAGCTAGAAGACAGTAACAATGTGTACTACTACCATAAACCTCAAAGCCACAACTTCACTTGCTAAAATGGCAGATATTTCACAAATAACTATCTCAGAAACTACCACACATTCAGGATCATATGAAACACAAAAAGCACATAGACCATTATACCCATGGTGTCAATTTTGTGGGCTCAGGGCTCCAACCTTCACACGAACCCTCGTACATTTGAAGCTTTTCATGTAGAAACTGGATATACTGTATAACCTGTATCAGAATCACTTATTACAATTTGTATGGGAAATACGATGCCATAAACAGATTATTTACCAAATGACAGCAAAATAGAAAGCCTAAATGAGATAACCAAGCGCCAACCTCCAATAAGAATGAAGCTTTATCGCGCTTCGAATCATTTTCTGGTATGAGATCCCTCAAAATTTGAAATCTGCAATACATAAACTTCAAAACCTCAGCTCCACCAGCGACAATGCTAATGAACTCGATAAATAAATACTAGGCCCGAAATTAGTAACTTCAAATTGTAGCCTAATTGCTGAACTCGTGTTGCGAAACTGAAACGAGAAACTGGAACAATTTAAACCGAGTGGATGCATTTCGAATACCAATTCCAATAATTAACGAGATTCGGTTTAATTCCACAAAATAGAACTTCACTAGACGAAAATTAACATGAACAAAGGCCTCCACCATTACTCACAAATCACAATTTAATTCCCAATTTAGATTAAAAAAAAACAGCAAATTAAGCTTACCTCTCGTTGATTTTGAGTCTTCTACGCTGCTCCGTCTCCGAATGCTTCGACCGGTGGCAATTCCCCTTCTGATCAACTCTTCTCCGCTCTGAACAAAGTTCAAAAATCAAACACACACACACACACACACAAAAAAAACACTAATCAAAACGCACACAAAAATGCCATATATATAGCAAATGAACACCTGTAGGAGAAAAGCTGTCGGGACTTTCTTCGTCTTCTACACGGCTGTTAACAGTTCTCACCATTGCAGTTCTGCAAATCCAAAATTCCCTTTCACCAAATTATTTATATCTATATATATCTCAATATCTGTGTATGAATCTATGTACATATATATTTAAAACTTTTGTTTGTGTGTGTGTGGAGAATGGAGACGAAGAGTGATTATCAGAAATTAGGAGCCCTAATTAAGCGCCTTCGATGAAGGAAAATTTTTTGAAGGGTGGAAAGCGCTAACGTGCGCGTGTACAGCGGCGTTCGTTAAACTGAGCTCCTCTATTGATTGGTCATTTCTTTTGCTTATTGGGCCTTTTCCTCTATTTAATTAATTGGGCTTGGGCTTTTGTCATTTCTATTCTTTTGCAATATTATTTGTTTGCATTGTATAATAAAATATTTATCAAATTAATACTACAAAAAATCATAATTCACAAATTAAAAAATTAAAAAAAAATAAAGGAGAAAAAGTAGATTATATACTTGAAAATTTGATCCAACCGCTGTGCATTAACTATACTATATAAGAAACTAAACCCCAAAAGAAAAAGAAAAAAAAAAAATTATTTCTTTGCATTTTTGCAGTAGTGGAAAATGAAAAGGAATAGCCCACAATAATAACAAAAAAAAATCAGGTTATTCAATTTGGCCTTTCATCTATACTGGCCATACTTCTCAATTCGATTTGCTGGCATTCGATTCTGCTCACAGCTCTCGAGAAATCCGCGCTGGCAAACGACATTGTATCTTCTTTAACAAGCCGCCTCTGCTTTATCTTTATAATACCCTGCGAAACTTCTCCAATCGTAGGACGTTTTCTCGGTATTTTATGCAAACACCTGTGGGCAATTTTCGCCAGGCTCCTTCCTTCTTCCGGATTAAACGTCCCTATAATTTTCGTGTCGATTATTTCATCAACGCCATCTGGACTCATAGCAGCCTAGAGAGAGAGAGAGAGTTGATGAGAGAGAAATATTAGAACATGAAAAAAGAGAGAGAGAGAGTTAGTTCGTTAGCGGTTTTTTTTTTTTTTTTGCTTACAAGATTGACATATTCCATTAGATTCTGGTGTGGGTGAATTGCAGTAATGAGCTCGAATAGAATAATGCCGAAACTGTACACATCGCTCTTGGTTGTGAAATTGCTTGTGGATATATACACAGGATCGATATACCCGTATGTACCTTTAAGCCCCGATTTATGACCGTCGAAAACCTCTTCTTTCGATAGTCCAAAATCAGCAACCTAGTTAAAGGTAAGGCACAAATCTTGAAACCTTTAATCGACCAACAAAAAAAATACGGGCTTAAGAAACAAAAATTTAATGTTTATATAAGCTTACCTTTGCTCTCATGGAACGATCGAGTAAAATGTTGGCCGATTTCAGATCTCGATGTATGACAGGTGGCACTGCCTGTTTCCAAGGTGTGCCCAACAAAGTTAAAATGATCGTGATTAATTGATTGAATTCCCTAAACGGGAAAATTAGTTATAGTTAGATATCGTGTATCTTTGAGCCTACCCCATCGTGTAGGTATTCGATGCCGTGTGAAATGTCTAGTGCTATTTGAAGTCGATATTCCCAACTCAACACTTGTTCATCGTCATCTATATACGTATATAAAGACAAAGTTGTTACGTGCAGAAAAATATAAGTAACAATGGTTAGCAAATAAGACGTTCGAACACATAAACTTACTGTATAGAAGTTTTCTCCAAGCTTCCATTGCTCATGTACTCGTAAACTAGCATGTGCTGCCCTTTATCGATGCAATAACCCGACTAAATTCACCAAATTTCGATGATGGAGTCTACCTAGCAAGGAAACCTAAAAAAAGGACAGTGTTATTAAGCAAATCAACCGAACTAATACCTAGGCCAACCGATGGGATCCAATGATTGAAGCACTTGGGCACTAACCTCTGTCTGAAACTCTTTTCCCTTGTTTCGAATCCGAAGCAAGAACTTTCACAGCAACCACTTCGCCAGCTGGCATTGAAGCTTTATACACCGGCCCAAACGAACCCTGTCCCAAAATATCCGAAAAGTTCTGTGTTCCCTTCTGAATATCTCTGAATATAAATAAATAAATAAAATCAGCTGCTTCTTTCACAGATGAAGCAGATACCACTAGACGAAAGACAATGATTCGCTATTACATACTTGTAAGAGTATCTCGGAATACCAGATGCAGAAACGAACCGATCTTTTTTATGATTATTCCACCAAGAATGTTGGGGTTTTGGGGGGAGATAATCTGAGCCATTGATTGCCACGGAAATCGAAAGAGATGCACTTGAATCCATGCTTGAATCTAAACCGTTATGTCGCATAGGAATATTAGAAGATGAACGATCATTTGAGCAGCGACGAAGGTGGGCCCGCCTCTTGTACCAACAAACACCGAAAAATACTAGACAGGCTATGAGTACTCCCACAGCCACTCCAACAGAGATACCGATAATAACCAGATCGGCTTTACGAACCATTCTTCGGTCGTTTGTTACTGTCATAAAACACGATCATCTTGCAGCAAATATATCTTGATTACTGTCTTTGTACATGAAAATAACGTAAAATTAATCGACAGCAAACAGGATAAAGACGACGATAACTGCATTTGGATAATAACATACGCCGACAAGATAATGATTTATATTATTACAAAATAAAGCATGTGAAATATACACCTGCATTTAATTAACAAGCCGTAATGTAAATTCACCAACACCCGACGGTTCGTTAATTACTGTACCATTTTCACGATCTCGAAAATTCTGGGAATA